TGTTATATAACTATGCAAATAATTCTTCTGATTAGTTGTATTAGAATAAAAGTACCTTCAGTACAATTTACAATTCTCCTCCTTCCCCCCCCCCCCCCAAGTTTCTGTTAGAATATTTGATCACTGTAAAAATCACTTTATTTTTTTGCTTTTTGTCACTTGGAAAATCCCAATTTTCAGTTCAGTTCAGACTTCATGTTGTAACATTAATTCCACAATCATAACTAATAGACTGGACCATAAAGGAAAGAATATTGAATTAATACAGTTACTGATAAACATAAGAAGAACCACACCACTTCTTTAAAACAAAAATATCCAGAACCACTTTTTTTATTCTAAATTTTCCTGACAATGCCTTGCAACAACAAAGGCAATGGTGTCTAAAAAATTGTCATGTTGTGTCTAGCTAATATTTGAGTTATGAAAAAAGTATAATAATGTGAAAATGAATTAACTGATTTCTCTGATATTTAGAAGTTGCTTGGTCTGGTGTTCTCTATTGTTTTATTGAATTTAAAATCATTTGCTGACTCTTATCAGGTTATGGAGAACAATTCTAGCAACATCAATGAGTTAAAAATGAATTAATGTAGATTGATAATAGATGCAGGACATTTTGCCTCTTCATCACCACTAAGGATGAGATAGTTAGTGACTGAAAGTTGCCCACTGATGGTTATTTGGCCTGTATGAAACAAGTTTGTGATCTTGGTCCCAGTTCCTTTTGGATGTATTCCCAACATTGCAATTGGTACTAATGTTCATAGTCACAGCTGCAAAGCTAAAGATTCCAATTCCTACTGAAATCGGCTGGAGTTGTATCAGGCACTAAATTGCCATATAGGCTGAGCTACCCCTATCCCTACAGGTGGTCCATGTAGGCCAGGGTTGATGCTCTTATCAAGAGCTTAGGAAGTAATTACCGTTGTACGTGACTACCTGTTTGCTGGCAAGGGGATTTCAGTCTCTGTGCCTGTTAACCTGGCCTCTTCAATGAGCTCTACATTTGCTTTTAGAAGAAGATATAATTGTATTATATTGGTAAATGCAAAACACCTTAGCAGACTAGTTAACAATAATAGCATGATAGAACTGCATTGACTGTATTTTTCTAACACAACCTTCTTATTTATCCTTAATAAATGCTCATAAGGAACGAGAGGAGCAAATTGAAAACTGAATTCCTTTAAATACAAATTAAAATGTTTTTCTCCCAGTATAAAACATGGAAGTCATTTTAGATTTTTTGAGTGTGTCAGATCTTCTCTCTCTTTAT